GCTGGCTTCCTCCCAGAGGCAGCAGCGTCCGGTAAACCTTCCTTGTGCCCCGGCCCCACCCTGGCTGCCCCCGGTTTCCACAGGGCGGCCCTCCCTGGCCACCGAGGTGGGGACTGAAAGGGCCTCCCCCCTGGGATGTCCCTGCGTCCCCCCAGGCAGGTGGGCTCTGCCATCACCCCACTCCAGAGGCAGGCGGGCCGCGTCTCCTTTCTTTCTCTTCTTCGCTGTTGTTGTTCACTTTATCTTTCTGAACAGAAGTGGTTTCACACACATGATTCTACGGCTTCTTCACTTGCTACGGGCAACACTCGTGTCATAGGAACCAAAGTCAACAGCAAACGGAGAGACCTCATTCCTCACAGCCGCACCCCCCATCCCCTCGTCGCCTCCCGAGGGACACGTGGCTGCCCCCCCACCCCCCACACACACCCCTCAGCCGTAAACATCTGCACCAGGGGTGCGGTCTACTGTGCCGGCTTCACTAGAGCATTCATCAACACACCTTCAGCCTTTCACCGACTGGCCTCAGAACCAATGTTACAGATGTGAACATCAGAATATCACTGCTCAGCCGGCTGGCGGGGCTCAGGGGTTGCGCACTGACCTGTGAACCAGGAGGTCAGGGTTCGGTTCCCGGTCAGGGCACAGGCCCAGGTTGCGGGCTGGATCCCCAGCAGGGGGTGTGCAGGAGGCAGCCTATCGATGTTTCTCTCTCATCGATGTTTCCACCTCTTCCTTCTCCCTCTCCCTTCCTCTCTCTCTAAAAATCAATAAAAACATATTTAAAAAAATAACACTATTTCAACATTGCTCCTTTGTTTAATTTGGGGTTTCCACCCCGATTTCATTTGGGGATAAGAGTGTGAACCCCCTGGATTGGGATCTGCGGGGGACTCCGGGCTCCTGTGACCTGTGACCCTTGAGCATCAGGGCGGGGCAGTGAGGGGTGATGGGAGCCACGGGACTCAGGAAAGGAGGGGCACCTCTTACTCCCTCTGCACTCGCAAGGAAATGGGGGGCCAGCCCTGGGAGGACCCACCGTGCCCCCGCGAGGACATGCCTGAGACGGGAGCCACGGGGATCGGGACATGGGATTCCGATATCCGCCCACGAGTGGGATGTTTACGGGGAGGAGCCACAGCAGTGAGATGAGAACACAGCCCGGGGGTGAGGGCCTGCCCTGGCCGCCCGTCCCATCGGCACTTCACCCCCACAGGAGCCGGCAGCGAGGGAGACAGGACAGGACATTCTCCCCAACGCCCCTTGTCCAAGGTCCAGGCTGAGTCAGGGAGGTGCCCGCTGCCTAAACAAACTCAGGCCAAGACCCGCCCCTCCGAGAGCCTCAGGCCCCGCTGGCAGGTGCTGGGCCACGTGGGGGGGGGACGGATGGGGCAGGCGGGCGAGGCTCCTGGCTGCCCACGGTCCCCAGCAGGGGTTCCTCCTGGGAACCGTGCCCCAAGGCTGATGGTGCCCGCGTGGCCAGCACCCGGGGAGGTTGGGCCTGCGCCTGCGCCTGCCAGGTTTCAGACAGGGTCCCAGACCTGCTGGGAGGGGCCTGAGTTTACTGGGGTCCCCCGGCTTCGGGTGCACCCTGGGCTGTGAGAGGCCCCCCTTGGAAGGAGGGGCTGCGGTTGGGGTGGTGCCAGGGAATTGCTTTATGAGGCTGCCTGGGCCCAGCAGAGCCTCCACCTTCCGGCCGGCTGCGGGCAGGGCCAGCAGATGTGCTTTAGTGGCCGCGCCAGGAGGCAGGAAATGCCCGGGCCTTTCACATGCAGATGCCGGGGGTGCTTTGTGCTCCGGTGATGCCGCCAGATCGGCCCTGCCTCTGAATGGCTCTCCAATAAAGCGCCTGCTGGGGGGACCCAGGCCGGTTACAGATGTCCCAGGACCACGCCCCCCCTGCATCCCAGGGCAGAGGAATCACCATCCCCCGCAGCTCCAAGAAGGGACCACGCTGCCCGGGAATGACAAGGGGCAGAGTCATCGTGGCCTGGAAGCCTGGCCTCCTGTCCTCCCATCTGGGGCCCTGCTGGCCCAGAGCCGTCTTCAGACCCTGGATCTGCGAGGCCACACCCTCTGACTCCCTATCCCCCGGCCTCTCCCCCTAACACCAGCCTTTCTGGGTGCTCTTTACACTGGTCGCCCCACCGGGACAGGCAGCTTCGGGGGCAGGGACGCCCTGCCGTGCCCGCTGCGGTGTCTGTCGGATGCAGAGCCCTCAGTAGGCACTTGCTGGGTGTGGTTGGCAGGGAGAGCCGGGCTCTGCAGTCGGGCGGATGTGGGCGAATCCTGGCGGTTCCGAATCTCTGAGCCTCGACCCCGCTTTGGAAAGGGGTGGACACCCACGTCGGGGCTGGCTGCGAGGGTGAGTGTGGGGTCCAGCACCTGCGTGGGACGGGCAGCCTCCCTCAGTCAATGGCGACTGCTGTATGGTTGACGCGGTTTTAAAGAGCAGCGTTTATCCTCCCCATGGCTCTGTCCCCAAAAAGGTGGAACTTCTCAGGAAGTCAGAGGACAGCTGTTGCCACAGAAACCTAGGGAGAGGCTGGGGGTGCCCCTCCCCCTGGGGGGGTGCCCGGACCGAAGGTGCTATTTGGGAGCCTGTGGTCTGGTGCTGGGAGCTGGGGTGGAGGCGAGCTCTCCCCCACGACCCCCCCCCCCCCCACCCCAATCACACTTGTCCGAGGGCGGCACACTTGTCCCCCAGGCACTTCCTCCAGTTCCATGACTTCAAAGCCAGCCGCACACATCAAGGCCACGGAGCCGAGGTGCAAAGGGACCTGGGGGGGGCGGGGCGGGGGCTGCAGAAACTTATACCAAGCGCCCAATGCCCAGCGCTATTCACCTCGCAAACAGGGCCTGTTCCAGAAAATTCCTGGTAGAGTCCTTTCTGGGCTCAGCCACCACGAAAGGAAATATCGTGGCCTCCCATACCTGAAACATCCCAAGGAAAACCCCAAAGCCTCACTCCACCTCCCAGGCTGGGCTCCACCCAGGCCCAGGTGACCCACCAGCCTGTGGGGCGCCTGAGCCTGGGCACAACCAGCCAGGATGGGCCGCGTGCAGGGCCTCGTCTTCACAGCTGGCGGGAGCTGGGGGGGCGGGGGAGGGAAGGAATGTCGGGGGGACACCACAGTGCAGAGTGGTCCGAGTTATGTGGGTTCTGGGGGACTCAGGGCTCTGTTCTTACTTCTACATTGAAATGTACTCGAACCTTAACTCCCACGCCACTCAATCTCAGTGAGGGTCCCTGCTCCCTCACCCAGGAGGCCCCTCGTCCCCTGCGGTCTGCTGGTGCCCCCTCCCCGCCAGCCCAGCCCAGCCCAGCCGCACTCTGCCACCCTCCTCAGCACCCCTTTCTTCCCGTCACTATGCCAACCTGGCGACTTGGTTACTCATTTGTGTCCAGGTTTACTGCCCACCCCCCCTCCGGACATGAGTCCACGAGGCCCTGTCCGCCTCAGTCATGGCCCCGAGGTCCGGTCCCCCCAGCAGGCAGCTCAGTGCCCTCTGGCCTGTCCCCACAGGTGCCACCACCTCGTGCTCCTGCCTGTGGCAGGGCCAGCCTGAAGCTGACCCCGGGGAAGACGGAGACGAAGGCGGAGGCCACGCAGGCACGGACCTGGCCCTGAGGACCTGTGCCCGCTGGGCCCAGGGAGGCACCCAGGCCTGGGTTCTCTCCTGGGCACCACGTCTCCCTGTTTCGAGTTCCTGGCCTCTCAGACACCGCAGCCGGGCCTTGCCATGCAGGACCATGTGGCCACTGTACGGACAGGTGAGGTGGGCTCTTTCAACCGCCATCTACAAGTAGGCAAACTGAGTCCCAACCAAGTCAGGCTCCAGGCACAGGTCCCCCAGGGAGTGGCTATGGGAGGCCAAGTCCTGTGCAATTAGCCCTTCCCAGCTGCCCGTCAACATCATGGCAGCACTGGCCTGCGATGCCCTGGCAATGACAAAGCCCAGGTCCAGCGGTGCCACCCGTGGTCCCGGCATGTCCTCCACGCGCTGTCCCCCTCCTACTGTCTAAACAGATGATCAAATACAGTCCAGCTGCCCGGCTGGTATGGCTCAGTGGTGGAGCATTGACTCTTTTTAAAAATGCATAAAATTTGTAATGATTTCAGAGAGGAAGGGAGAGAGAGAGAGAGAGAGAGAGAGAGAGAGAGAAACATCAATGATAAGAATCATAGATTGGCTGCCTTCTGCACGCCCCACACTGGGGATCACAGTAGGAATCTGAGCCTGCTACCCAGGCATGTGCCCTGACTGGGAATCGAACCGCGACCTCCTGGTTCATAGGTCGATGCTCAACCCACTGAGCCATGCAGCTGGGCGAGCATGGACTTTTGAACCAGAAGGTCAGGGTTCGATTCCCGGTCAGGGCACATGCCCGGGGTTGTGGGTTCGATCCCCCAGTAGGGGGCATGCAGGAGGCAGCGGATCCGTGATTCTCTTCCATCATTGATGTTTTTCTCTCCCTCTCCCTTCCTCTCTCTGAAACCAATAAAAACATATTTTTTTTAAAAACACAGTCCCACTGAATTACAATGCCAGTCACACGTAATTCAAAGTTTCCTGGTAACCACCTTAACAAAAGTCAAAAGAAACAGATGGGATTAATTTGATAGATTTTATTTAAACCTAATGTATGCAAATGATTATCATATCAACATGTAATCAATATGGGCTATCAGCCCAGCGTGGGTTTGACACTGACGGCTCATCTCTACAGAATGACCACGGCCCAGCGCTCAGCACCGCGAGGAGCTCGTGGCCGCCCCTGGATGGCGCAGCTCTAACCCCAGGGCCTGTGCGCGCCCCGGGGCGCCGGTCCGGATCCTCCCCAGGCGGGTGCTCCGGGCTCCGGGGCGGGGCGGGGCCAAGACAGCAGCCCCGCCCCAGGCCCCGCCCCTCCAGGCCCCGCCCCCGGCAGCGCTCAGAGCGGCGGGAGGGACCTGGCGGAGGCCCGGCGCCCACGGCGGCCAGCGCGGCCCACTCACCTCGCCACGGCCTCCACGGAGCCGGCGATCGGCCTGCCGCCGCCCTCGCCGCTGTCGTACAGGACGCCCGAGATGTCGAGCAGCACCCCGCGCACGCCGGCCAGCCGCTCGCCCCACGCGGCCATCGCGCCCGCCGTGCCACTGCGACTGTGTGCCCCGCCCCGGGCGGGAGGCTGCGGCTGCGCTCGCCGCGCAGGGGCGCCTGGGAAGTGTAGTGACGCGGGGCGGGGCCGGGGGCGGGGCGGGGCGGGGCCGAAGGGGAAGGGGCGGGGCGGGCGCTGCCTTTGGACTTGGGGGTCACGGGCTCCCCAATGGGTGTCTTCTCCGCAAATCAGGGGATAAAAGTCAGACCACTTCCGATGCGCGCAAGGACACAGACACCTGTAAAGGCAGCGAAGTCAGGACGGGCAGTCCCAGAGCTTCTCTCTTCCTCTGCCTTCCACTCTCTAAAAAAATCAGGGGAACAATACCCTCGGGTGAGGATTAACCAAAAAACTTAACAATGACAGCAACGAGGGTTACACCGGCGCGAGTGTGGCAGCCTTAGAGCAGTGGAGGGGGGACCATTGGCCACACAATCCCGCCAAAATGACGCAGCACTGAACGGGGGACCTGCCAGGAACATTGTGGCTCCTACACACGGACTGAACGCCTACCCGCTGGGCTCAGTGGGCTCTGGGGGTGCAGAAAGGAGTCAGGGGTGATCATTGCTCGGGCTCCAGAGTGGGCAGAGGACAAGGCGGACACCTTGGGATCACCACCAAATGAGCCAGTAGTCACAGCCACAGGACGGCTCTGGGGCCGTGGAGGGCGGCAGTGGTTTCTGAGCAGAGGGGCAGCCTGAAAGGACCTTGCAGGATGGCTGGGCCCTAGCGTCCGGCTAGGAGGAGGAGGAGGAGGGGGAGGAGGAGAAGGAGGGGGAGAAGGTCACCTGTGCTGGTGGGGGTGAGCCTGAGCACAGGCCCCCTCTTCCGCCGGCTGTGTGGCACCCAGCAAATCGCTTTCTGCATCTAGACTGTGGCGAACAGAACGGCCGCAGGCAGATGGCCACGTCCTAACCCCCAGAACCTGTGTGTTCGTTCCCTGACCTGGCAAACAGGACTTTGCGGGTGTGAGTAAGCTCGGGGTCTTGAAATGGGGGGATGAGCATGTGCAACCTGCAGAGTCTTTCAGATCTTGCTTCTCGGCCACTGCGTGTGCCCGCTCCGGGAGGGAAGGCCCCTGCGTGTGGCGTTCGCCTGGAGCAGGAACGAGAACGCGACTGAACGGGCTCTGCTCTCTCGCTTCCTGGGTCAGAGCTTGGTTTGGCCACTTCCTGGCCGCAGGGTCACCGGACAGTCACCCCAGGTCGGCTTTGTCAACTGCAAATGGGTGGCAGTAACAGGGCCTGCTTGTGGCGCCGCGGAGGGTTAGAGTAAATAACCCAAAGGCGAAAAGCCTGGCGCCGAGTCCAGAGGACCCGGGAACAAAGCTGGTACCGTCCACACGTCACCACCAGGAGCGACTGACACCTATTCCACCTGCCAGTGTCACCCTCCTTGCTTTCCTGGTTAAGGTTTCTGTTAATCCTCACCCGAGGATATGGTTCCACTCATTTTTTAGAGAGAGTGGAAGGGAGAGGAAGAGACAGAGAGAAACATCGATGTGAGAGAGACACATTAATTGGTTGCTTCCTCCACACACCCCGACCAGGGCCGGGAACCTGTAACCAAGGTCCGCGCCCCTGACTAGAATTGAACCCGGGACCCTTCAGCCCTCGGGAGGGTGCCAAGCCGGCTAGGGCCACCCCTCATTGCTTTACCCCCCTTCTTTGATGTTTCCTGGACGTTTCTAGGACAAAGAAGTTGATTTTTTAAAAAGCTGCTGCTTTCCAAGAAGAAATGCTAACTTCTTAAAGCAAAATACGTTGCCCTGACTGGTTTGGTTCAGTGGATAGAGTGTCAGCCTGCGGACTGAAGGGTCCCAGGTTCGATTCCGGTCAAGGGCATGTACCTTGGTTGCGGGCACATCCCCAGTGGGGGGTGTGCAGGAGGCAGCTGATTGATGTTTCTCTCTCATCGGTGTTTCTAACTCTCTATCCCTCTCCCTTCCTCTGTAAAAAATCAATAAAATATATTTTAGAAAAAGTAAAGCAAAATACGTTGACTAAACATTTCCATTTTGGTCGCAGTCTGGGGACCACGGGGGGGGGGGGGGGGAGGCTCCACTTGGAGCGGTCGCCAATCCAAGTCTCCCAGGTGGGTTTTGCAAAGGGAAACTTGCTCTGCTGGGCAGCCAGAGCGCCAGGCCCTGGTGGGGAAGGGGAAACTCTAGCCCTCAGTTGTGACTCCCGGGCAGCAAAGGGGAGAGAGGCAGGCGAACATTTACCAGCAGGTCCCACTGCTGCGGGTTTTCTTTGAAAAGCCAGCGCTCTCCCTCCCGTCCTGCAGACCCTCTGCGCGGAGGAAGTCCCGGGGCACAGCTACGGCGTGGCGGCTAGACCCCTTGTCACCACGCTGTGCCCTATGAAGCTGTCTCCTTGGCGTATATGTCCTACCCCGAGGGCTGGCCCAACCCCCAGTTTCACATCCAGAATCTCAGTTGTATTTTCTTTCAGGAACATGAGATGGTATCTAAGGGGCTTTAATGGGGCTTGTCACATTGCCATCCCTCCGCATCCCCCTCCCCCGCAAATTCTCTCCATTGTTAGCAGCTTGCGTGGCAGGCAGCGCCCCGAAGGCCGAAGGCTGGAGGCGGGGCTGGAGTCCTGGCACCTGGGCTGTGGAACAGCTCAGGGCACGGAGCACCAGCGATTTGCATCAGCCTCGCCTTCTCCGCAAAGATACTCTGGACTGGAATTCACTAAATAGCCCCAGAAACGACCAGGTCATTTAGCACAACATCCCTGATGCTGCCCCCTCTCAGCTGCCGCGTGTGGATGGGGCGCATTGTCTTGATGGCGTTATCAGCTCGGGACACCCGCCATGGATATTGATCCCCAGCTCATTGCAGCCATCACTTGCCATCAGGACCCATCAGGGTGGAGCCCGCGGACCCTCCAAGCAATTTAAAGACAGGGCTCAGGCGGAATGCTAACGTCCAGCTGGAAAAACAAACCACCTGCATGCACGGGGCGGAGTGGGGCGGGGCGGGGGGAGCTGGCTGGATACCTATACGTTTATTGTTTAAGAACTAGTGACCCAGTGCATGAAATTTGTGCACATTAAAAGAGAATTAATTAGAGGAAACATTTTAATATTGCTATTTGCCCTTTCTCTATAATAGAAGTGTCGGGGGTGAAAGAAAATTAGTAAAATGTATATGAAAATCTTCCTCCTGTCAGAGTCTGGGGTGCACCACAGGAACCAAAGTCAAGTCCCCGCCCACCCACATGTGCCTCGAAATCGCACAAGACCCAGACCTGGCCGGCCCCACCCGCATTGGGCTAGAACCAGACCCAGCCGGCCCCACCCCCGTAAAGCCCCACCGGGGCACGGGGTGTGGCCCGAGTCCCCCAGCCCAGCACCTGGCAGGGGCACAGCCTGAGGTCCTCTGTCAAGCCCTGCCAGGCGAGGGGGAGAGGGGGGCGGGCACAGCCTCACGTCCCCTGCCCCAGCTCAGCACCACATGTCCCTGCTGATTGCTCATTCAGGCTCATTACAGGAACTCGGACTCTGCTGTGGGCACAGCCATCTTGACCTTTATGGTGTGATGGTCAACTTGCATATTCCCTCTTTATTAGAGAAGATACCCTGGGTATAAATACAGGTGTGAGGATGTGAGTGAGTCAGCACATCGCCAAATTGTGCCTCCAGGAGGTCTCGCTGCCTCTGGGTCACTGACAGAGCAGGTGGCCAGGAAAACAATTCCCCAAGGCCCGCTCTCCAGCACCAAACTGGAGCGTTCAGCGTGCTCTGGGGGTGAGTGGGAGACACATCACGGTTTCTCACTGTGTCAGCTATTTCCAGAAGCCAAGTTCTGAGCGTGAGGGTTCACATACCCTTACGCTGCCCTGAACACACGTGTCAGAGAGACAGGCACAATAAAGGGCAAGGAAAAGTTAACAACAGCTAAAGGAAGCTCTTAAAGACCCGCTGTCTTAAAGCACGCGGCCTTGACGTGTTCCTGACTTCCCAACGCGTCGCTTCTCCCCTCCGGCTCCTTTCCTATGTTTAGCACCTGTGGGCTCCAGGGGAAAATGTCGCCCATCCAAGGAGAAAGGTTCATATCATCTAAACAAAAAATGTCGGGCGTTTATAAAGTGAAGTGAAAATGGCCCGGCTGGGGCCTTGGCTGTCCCAACCTCCCCTGTCCCTCTGGTTGGGGGTACCGGGGGGGGGGGGCTCCAGAAGGCCACCCCACCTTCCCGTGAAAATGGCCTCACCGCCTCTCACAGGTGGACATATGAGATGCCCATTCGAGCGACCTCAGGAGGTGACTTCTGGCAGCCTGAGGACCTAGCCTGGCAGAGAATGTGAGCGGGTTGCTAAAAAGTAAAAGGGGGCTGAGGTCAGTACAGGGAGGGAGGGAGGAAGAAAAGTAAGATGAAAGAAAAACAAAAAAAGTGAGAACTGAGTGAGAAGAGCTGTCAACACAGAAAGCCAAGTCCCTCTGCTTCGGGAATGGTCTGCGGTCCGCAGCCTGGGCCCTGGCCCCGCTGTGGGGTTCCCGGCAGGGCAGGCGGACTTTTCTCTGGTTCTCACAGGTGGGCCTCCACTCTGGCGGGAGGCGGGCCAGTGGGCTTGGGCGCGCACTGCACTTCCTTCCGATTTCCTTTTCAAGCACAATCCATCTGGGCTTGAGGACCAGCGGGCTGGCATTTCGGCTGGGCTTTCAAGTCCCCAGGGGACACCGTGGCCGCCCCTGGGAGGAGCCCCAAGGTTTGAATGAGAAAAGCTACAAGGGGCCTGCGAGGGAGGCCGACTCCAACAACAGAAGGATCAGCAGCCCAGCACTTTGATGGGTTTCCCCTCCCCTGCCCACCTACCTGCTTGGACAATGGTAATTGCCAAGCCACTGTTTGACATCCCAGGGGGTGGGAAGAAAGGGCCGCCTGTTAGGGGTGCTTCTGGGCGGAGTGGTTGGGAGAAGCTCAGGGAATGAGATCAATGCTTGGGCTCAGAGGTGGTGCCCCAGTGACCGGAGAAAAAGGCATGTAAGACGGGGCGGCTGCTGCGCTGCCCCCAGGACTGATGTCCACTATCCC